TACTCTGGCTGTAATGTTGGAGTTCCTGGTCCTACAACCGAATCCGTGTAGGTTTTGTCGTTATTGCAGGATTGCTGAATTAAACGCATTAAACAGTTATACATTTCGAATCAGGGATTAAGAGATGGCTGGCTGAGGAATGTGATACAGAAGTAAACACCCTCAAACCTCTCGCGTTGTATCGTTTAAAGCAAGTCACCATACGTGTCACGCTCTTTAAAACTTCCTTAGACGCTTCATCTTTTAACCGGTGTGTACACAATAATTCAGAAGTATGGCGCTTTGAGCGCAATTTAGTGAGTGCATGTGATTGTTTTTATGAACAGCATTTAGCCATGTCAACCTACCTGTTCGATCACGAAAATTGTGTACCGTCGACGTTGGTGTCGCAAAAATGGATGCATATGGTTGAGGAAGACGGAGAGATTAGCAAATCGGTTGCGGTAAGGAATAATTATTGCGGTCAATTCCTCCTGATAGCAGCCAACTGGAGTCCAGTAAATTCGTGCAGGCTGGTTGTCATCTCTGGTGATGTTTTCCAAAGTGTATGCGACATCTGTGAAGGTTGATCTCCCAGTCCAGATAACTTGATCCGAGTACAGCCCCCACTTTAGCGCCAATTCATCGAATGGCACATATTCCATACTAACATTGAGTCTCCCATCTGTAAATTCAAGCCATTGTTTATACTAAAATGCCAAACAGCTTCACTTGGAAGCAAACTAGGTTTAGTTCTAAAAAAACCCTAAATGCTATTCATTATTAGCCCGGAATATTTATGTCCTTTCTTGTGTTCAGAACATTTGCAATGCAGTTTGTATATTGAAGCACTGCATGTTTTATGCTGACACAGCCCAAATTAAGTAAAGCTATATTGCGATTATTTTACAAACATAGCCATGATATAACTATTACTTGAAAGGGATATTTCTGAGTGCTATCACTTTATTTGCTGGTCATACATTTGTTAAACAATGATTTATATAATGTATATACAGCTTTGAAACACATGCATAATCTGACAGCATCTATCTATAAATATGGTTTTTAAAGGCTCTGTCTGTCTCCCTTACCTATACTGAATTCTTTCAACTCAATGTGTGTATTCGTTTCTTCAGTTGAAGATAAATTATTGATATGTTTCCTCGCTTAGAAAACCGTCTTAAGTTATTTCACCGGCAGGATTGCCGACGGCATTCGTCTTTTACAAATACTGCAAATACGCCTCAGTTGAAGGTTATGGAGTGCAATGTCACGCCTTAGTTATTTATAAGAAACGCCGTTGCACTACAACTACTAATATCTGGTTAATTAGTGAATACCATTCCAGACACTTTAGATTACGATTTGTCGATCACACCGATTAAACTACGATATTGAATATGCTTCATCTTTAATTTTCTTAACGCTCGGGTGGGTGGATTTTGTGTTTTTATCGTTCCTAACAACAAAATAATTCAACATGGTTTTCTTTGTTTTTAGGGTTTTCAGCTGATGCTAACTAGAACTGTGTGGGTATTCAATAAGAAATGGTCTTTTCCGATGCATTTTACTCATTTTTCAAAAAGTATATTTTCTGAGTCTTATAATTAATTATAAGACTGTTTTGTTGTACAAACACCGAAGGAAGACCAATGCAAAGAATAGTA